ACCTTCATCAGATTTACTCATTTTGTGGCGATATCATCAATTCTCTATTTTTAGCGCATATTTGTGTCATTTTCGATAGAAAACTATTTCGACGTCTTCTTGAAAACTGTCAGTCTGATCGTTTTGATACTTTGTATGTAGGTACTCAGGGCGGAGTTATTTTCATGGCGATTCCATCAATTTTCTGGATATTTTTGCCATCAAGATAAAACATCATGTTATCGACTACTTCTTTTGAAAACTCAGAATTATGGATGTTTCGACCGACAGGTAGCTTTGTTTTTGACAAAAGTTGACTTTGCGTTAAAGGGGTTAACACTTTAAGTGCACATCCGTACATTGGATTGTTTTTGTTTTGTTTTAAATAACTTGTCATAAATTTCACCTACATGCACATCAACGTGCGAAAGTATCAGTACTAATGAATATACTTAGTATTAAACGTATGTGGGTTAAACGAAGATGTCACTGCCCGCACCAACAATGCAACATTTACCATCTATCGATATAGGTTTGAAGATGCCTTGGTTTATGCGACAGCGGCGATGAACGGCAGAAAGGAAATCCTTGGTGACACACCCTACACCGCGAGGAGTGTTTACATGGTAGGGACAATCTATCTAGAAATGGAAAGATTAACTGAATCAAGGAAATATTTAGTGGAGGCTCTGGAATTAGAGGAGCGACTTTGGCGTTCGGGTAAACCGCACAGTTATGACTGGGGACATCTGAAAACGCGATTAGAGGAGGTAGCTCTACTGTTAGATCTACCAGATACAGTGATATATAGTTACAAAAGACGATTTGAAGTGAGTTTATGTAAATTTAACTTAATTTTCGATGTCATCTTCCATATAATCACATTATTGTACGTTTGTATACCACTTTCATTGTGTCTAACTAGGTTAAGAATTTTGAAATATTACAGGCAGCAGAGGACAAGAAGAACTTTGGGAAACCTGCTCCGAGGAAAGATTTTCGCGATAAGAATGAATCGTCGTCGGAGTCCTCGGATGATGACGGTATTTGTTAATTTTTATCAAAATACTACTTAAAGCGCGGTGGTCGTCGCGCAGCGCGTGTTCGAATTTCATGTAAATAAACAATGTATTTTTCGCGCGTTGTATACGTCGCTATGAGTCCCATATCAAACAGAACGCGGCGTGACGACTGCCGCCCTTTAAGATATGATTTGATATGATTATATACCTTAGAGAGGGTTAAGTGGTCGTACATATTTGCCAAAGCGTGAGTAATAATGCCATATTTTATTGGGTATTGACACAGATATTCCATCGGTGGACATCAGCGAGCTGGTACACAGTAATGACGATCTGACATCACTATTGTGCAGCAAACACTGGGATGTCACAGAAACAGGTAAAACAAGTCTGTCTAGCTATGTTGTGAAAGGTACTCAAATGTAGTGGGAACATTTCAAATTTATGACTCTTTTAGGCGTACTGGCACATTCACCCAAACACAAGAAGGAGCTGTAAACGGTGTCCCGCTTCTCTCGAATTTGAGAACAGAACATGTTGCATCCAACAACAAAAATTTCACATTTCATCAAGTTATCTATATATTATATATATTATATATGCCTCCATTACATTTATTCTTCTTTAAGCAATTATTATTTTCTGTGTATCGATGTACCACTTTGATAATAAAGCTAAGGTTACGATACAATTTTTTAATACTAACAAAGCAAATAAAACGATAATACAACATTTAGGCGTGTCCGTCATACGAAAAGAAGAGTGTAACACGTTTGACAAAACAATGCAATAGGCACATGTCTGTAAGGAGATTTTATCCAATAGCAGGAGTCAGAATCCGACCCTGGACAATAAATTAGTGAACTCTTCACATACTAACATTCCTCAAAGTGTGTACATTAAGCCCTTAACGACAAATTAGAAAAGCGTTATCCAGTGCCAAGGTTTACTATGCGCAAAATTGAATATGTTAAAGCGGGAGGGTCGTCACCTGCGCACGCGCGGGAATTGAGTCCCAAGCGACGATAACAACACACGCTAAAAACGCAAAGGCTCATGAGCAGACGCTTATTTGTAAACAATGGCATGCTATGGCTATCTGACGCATGCGCAAGTGACGACTCCCCGGCTTTAACTACAATTCATGTTAATATGTTATTATGGTCGACTTGCTTTAACAGCGGTGCATCATTTATTTTTCGTAAAACGAAATTGTATTATTGACCTTAGAAATGAAACATATATTCACTAGATGAACATATTATTAAAGCATTCAATTCATTAATAAGCATGGTCACTACTTTCATGGTATACGTGTTCAGTAAGAGTGAACTGTCATTAGATACAATAATAGTAGGGGATTATATTGTGGATATTATTTGCCTAATTCTGTTAAACTTCGCCGGGTTGATTTTATTTCAATTGTTCAAAGTACAGTTTCGCATTCCACTACACCAGCGACCTTCTGATCAATAATCATGTCAAGTTCGATATATTTTTTTTTCAGGGGTATTCGACCCAACACAATACATTATGATTGGTTCTTATTGCTGGCTTGTTGTAATAGCTATAGGAGTAGCGATGTACTACATGTTATACAGTGGGTCACAGTAAGGCAACGTATACGGCCACGGTGTTATTTATATATTATTGGTAGATGATTTCCAAGTTCCGGCCGGATTCATTCTGTGGGCAAATTCCCGTATTGTATTCTACTTACATTCCTGGCATATTTGCATAATGATTTACATAATGCTTAGCATAAAATGTACACAATGATTTGCATATAATTTACATAGTGATTTGCATACAATTTACATAATGATTAGCGTAAAATGTACACAATGATTTGAATAAAATTTACATAGTGATTTGCATACAATTTACATAATGTTTAGCAAAAAAATTACATAATGCTTAGCATAAAATTTATACAATGATTTGCATAAAATTTAAATAGTGATTTGCATACAATTTACATAATGCTTAGCATAATATATACACAATAATTTGCATAACATTTAAATGGTTCTGTGCATCCAATTTACATAATGCTTAGCATAAAATGTACACAATGATTTGCATAAAATTTACATAGTGATTTGCATACAATTTACATAATGCTTAGCATAAAATATACACAATGATTAGCATACAATTTACATAGTGCTTAGCATAAAATTTACACAATGATTTGCATAACATTTTCACAATGATTTGCGTACAATTTACACAATGATTTGCATAAAATTTACATGTGTAAAACCAATTTCACCTAGTATATATGTAAATGCGTGGTAAATATGTGTAGAATCACAATCCAAATTAATTGAGTATTTGCTTAATACCTGTATAGATATTATAGTGTTAGTACATTTGCATTCCCACTTTTCACATCTGTGAGGTACAATACACTGATCAATATATACACCATCAAACTGTACGTGTATAATGATATTTTAGCAATTACAGCGAGCGGTAATTTTGCGGTATTGCATTAGGTATTTTCATACTACCGTATTAGGAAACGCGAATTCCAAATATGGAACGATTACGCGCGTAAGCGTCCTCTAATACTAGTAATAAAAAACAAACATGGCTGCCCTCAGGGTTTGACCGGACCCCACACAAAGAAGTTCACTAATTCTGTTCTAAAAGTTTTGGATGTCGACATTCCCATGATTTATTCCTGGGAGGGAAAGATGTCTAATAATAAGGTTCTTACGAGGATACTGCAAAGTATGCACCCAGACAGTACGCGTTCGCATCGACCTCCGCTGCGCGTCGGTCGGTACTTCCGCTGCACTGTCTTCGAGCATACTTTGAGGTATCCTCGTAATAACCTCATATTATAATGCCTCATAAATTCATCAAAATTTGTAACCAAAAGAGACTCTGAGTCAGATATGTCTAAGGATAAATAACATTGGCGGAAAAGTGAGCGGGACGGACGGGACATCTACTTACACATTGTTTAGCTAAAACACCATCAGCTTGTTCTGGTATTAATGTTTCACGTATTTGCAAAGTGGGAATGCAACTTTAAGATTATTGCGTGATTAACTTTAAGGGGCGGTATTCGTCGCGCCACGCATGCGCGAGATATATTGGTCTCATATAAACAAAGATGGCGACTTTGTTTGTTGCGCAGATCAACAAGTAAAAACTGAAACGTTAGTAAGCTTTAATTATGTATTTTCTTAGGTATGATTGGAAGGTATCGAAGGAGTCACGGGCGATATTAGCGCATTAGATTGTTGGGAAATCAATGTTTATGTACACAAATATAGCACATGCTCAGCGCGACGAGCACTGCCCTTTAAGCAAATATTTGTACTTAACTCCGTTCATTCTTCAAGAACAGAACTCAAGAACCACCATGGCGGGTTTGTCTAACATTTAAACAAACAATGCAAAATGAGCAGTTTATATGTCGCATGAATATAATCACTATTATCACTGTATACATATGAAATTGTGTGACTTTCCTTTTCCTTTTAAATTTTGTTTTTAACTGATTTATAAAGAAACATTCTCAATGATAATAAAACTTAACTTCGTCTTTTCCAGAACAAAACTATATTAATTTAGTTTGTTATGTGTGTGTTTTATTGTTGGCTGTCGTGTATTTAACTGTGGACTATCGTATATTTCATTGTCGACTCTCGTGTATTTCACTGGGGACTGTCGTGTATTTCACTGTGGACTGTCATGTATTTAACTTTGGACTGCCGTGTATTTCACTGTGGGCTGTTGTTTATTTCATTGTAGACTGCCGTGTATTTCACTGGGGACTGAGGTGTATTTATTCCACTGTGGACTGTCGTGTATTTCACTGGGGATTGTCGTGTATTTCACTGGGGACTGTCGTGTATTTAACTGTGGACTGGTGTGTATTTCACTGTTGACTGAGGTGTATTTCACTGTAGATTGTCGTGTATTTCACTATGGACTGTCGTGTATTTCACTGTTGACTGGTGCGTGTTTCACTGTGGGCTGTCGTGTATTTCACTGGGGACTGTCGTGTATTTCACTGTTGACTGGTGTGTGTTCCACTGTGGACTGTCGTGTATTTCACTGGGGACTGTCGTGTATTTCACTGTGGACTGTCGTGTAATTCACTGTGGGCTGTTGTTTATTTCATTGTCGACTGAGGTGTATTTCACTAGGGGACTGTCGTGTATTTCACTGTGGATTGTCGTGTATTTCACTATTAACTGGTGTGTATTTCACTGGGGACTGTCGTGTATTTCACTGTGGACTGTCGTGTAATTCACTGTGGGCTGTTGTTTATTTCACTGTTGACTGTTGTGTATTTAACTGTGGACTGTTGTGTACTTCACTGTGGACTGTTGTGTATTTCATTGTAAACTGTCGTGTATTTAACTGTGGACTGTTGTATATTTCACTGTGGACTGTCGTGTATTTCATTGTGGACTGTCGTGTATTTCATTGTCGACTGTCGTGTATTTCACTGGAGACTGTCGTGTATTTAACTGTGGACTGTCGTATATTTCATTGTGGACTGTCGTGTATTCCACTGTGGACTGTTGTGTATTTCGTTGTGAACTGTTGTGTATTTAACTGTGGACTGTTGTGTATTTCACTGTGGACTGTTGTGTATTTCATTGTGAACTGTCGTGTATTTAACTGTGGACTGTTGTATATTTCACTGGGGACTGTCGTGTATTTCACTGTGGACTGGTGTGTGTTTCACTGTGGACTGTCGTGTGTTTCACTGTGGACTGTCGTGTATTTCACTGGGGACTGTCGTGTATTTCACTGTGGACTGTCGTGTAATTCACTGTGGGCTGTTGTTTATTTCCTTGTCAACTGTCGTGTATTTCACTGGAGACTGTCGTGTATTTAACTGTGGACTGTAGTATATTTCATTGTGGACTGTCGTGTATTCCACTGTGGACTGTTGTGTATTTCATTGTGGACTGTCGTGTATTTCATTGTGGACTGTCGTGTATTTCACTGTGGACTGTCGTGTATTTCATTGTCGACTGTCGTGTATTTCATTGTCGACTGTCGTGTATTTCACTGGAGACTGTCGTGTATTTAACTGTGGACTGTCGTATATTTCATTGTGGACTGTCGTGTATTCCACTGTGGACTGTTGTGTATTTCATTGTGGACTGTCGTGTATTTCATTGTGGACTGTCGTGTATTTCACTGTGGACTGTCGTGTATTTCATTGTGGACTGTCGTTTATTTCACTGGGGACTGTCGTGTACTTAACTGTGTACTGTTGTTTGTATACCACTGTGGACTGTAGTGTATTTTACTGTGGACTTTCGTGTATTTAACTGTGTGTTGTCATAGATTTGATTTTTCATTCTGTTCGTCTGTTTTTCTAGTTTAAAAAATATGAGCTCGCTGGAGCCTTCATCCCTCGTCTATTTCTTACACTAGATACCAGCCGAACCCCCCCCCCCCTCGCTCATAGGGAGTGCGTACAGTTGATCATAGTTCCTGGGCTCCCTGTGATTTCACTGTAGACTGTCATGCGTTACATTAGGGACTATCGTGTATTTCGTTTGGGACTGTTGTGCTATTATATACTTATTTCCTAATATAATAGCTACATGTTTTTTGTATTGTTCCACAATAATGAACTTGTAAAGGGCGGTGGTAAACAATGTGGTCAGTTGGTAACTTCTACTGTTATTCAACCATTGTTTAGTCCATTATATACTGTAAAGGGGTAATTATTCACTGGGTTTTAATTTTGCTTATTTCGCTCACTGGAAAATGCGCTAAATTAAAACCCAGTGAATATGTAAAATTTAGCATAGAACACATTATCTAAATGACGAAACCGTGAATTTAAAACCCACTGAATATGCCTGAAATGGTAAAGCAGTGAAATTTAAACCCAGTGAAAATTAGTCATTTTACAGTAATTTATACACTTATTGTATATGTCCTTTGACAATGCAGGAATCTGCGTGAAATTACGGATAGAACAACATACCCTGTCATTGCTATCAATAATAATAATAATAATTTAATTTAAAAACGGACCCACATCATCATTTTCATTCAAGCGAGTCACGAGTGCCATGTTTTGTCCCATATGAATAATTTCTGGGGTCATGGCACACCGTTTTGGCATTAATATTGCATGCTTTTAAACCGTTGGGATGATTTAGACGTAAATATTTTAAAAACGGTATTTTACCAATAAGCGCAAGAGCCAGGAGTAAACGTCACTGTGAGGGCGTGTTGTGTAAGCTACCATACAGTGTTACTGGTAACTCTGAAGTGCATCTAGAACATGGCTGATTACATAGACCTGTGTTATAAACAGTATGTATGTCCACCATCACGTTATAAATATATGCACGTTGCGGAACTAGGTGTATTTCCGTAATTCTCATATTTCAGATAATTTACCAGATCTAATAAGTAAATGTTGGCATTGTTTGAAATTAGAAAACTATACAAATGTGATTGTAAATCTTATGGAAACCGTTTTTCCGTTTCTATATTGTTTTAGTTTCATTTCTCGCAACTATGCACCTAAAATGAAGTTGTGTGTGTTTATAATCCGCTTTACTTCACCGCCAATGTAACAACAAAATTTAATCATAGAATTACATAAAAATTACTCGCAACCGTCAAGAGTACATTATACACTTGAAGATTCTATCGAAGTAAGTTACAACTTGAAATAAAACACACATACAATATATTTTTAGGGATAAACGTCATTTATTAAATCTAGTATATCTTATATTTGTCTAGTAATAATATCTATAACCCCAGAACTTCCGTTACGTCTCAGATCAGTGGTTTGATGTTACATGTTTATGAAAACACCTTCTATAAAAAGCGCCCTCTCTAGTAGCGTAGCGCTTCGATGACGTGACTTGCGACAAAAGCCTCGCACGTAGGGGCTTGTCAATTGATTAGGGTAGCGTTTTTGAGAAATTTTACTAAATTCTAGATGACGACTCCACAACCAAACACAGTTGCCGATTTAAACTAAAACTCCTTTATCTATATACGTAATGTTGACGACACAAAAGCGCTCCAATACCAGAGGGCGTGATTTATAGTAGCTCCTCCCGTGATCATAACTATGCAGTGTACCGCGTAGTGTAGTGTACGGGACTTCTGGGGTATGATATCTCACAAAGGCGCAAACAAATACAGGTGTTAGAAGCAGCAGTGACATGAAAAGTAAATTTAATGTAATGATTGAAAGAAAATCAATGTATAGAAGGCGGATGTGACTACCCTGCGTGGGAACGATAGAAACATTTTCAGTAAGGACGACACAATGAGATGACGTAATACTCAAATGTCTTGAAAAAACAGCTATGTGACGTCACGCATTCACGGTGTGTATTATTCTAAGACGGGCATCCTCCATCACAGCCACAGGAATCACCGCAATCATTGTGAACTAAGGGAATAGATTGTTGAGAAATACAATCTGTTATTAAAAATGATAAACTATTTTATTATGTCGCGCACAAATAACATATACACATTGCTGCTAAATTCCAGTCGAGTCCATTTATGTTCGTGGGGGTGACTGAACTAGCAAAATGTAATTGAACGCGAAATTTAACTTGAAAACAATATTCAGGTTCTCCACGTACGTTTATTAGCGAAGGAAAACGAGAGCAATGAATGTAAGCAAAAAACAAAAACACTTACTGAATTTCTCACAAATATATCCGCGTTCCAGTATGCAATAGTTGTCGTCCATTAGTCCGTTCTTCTTTGACCTGTTTGTATAATCGTATAATAGTAATAGTAATAAATATAAAAGCATTCCAAAAGTGGCAAGAATCGCGCCCTCTGACGACGTCCCTTATGCATTGACAGAAGGCGCGTAAACATGGCCTAATGTTTCCACTCAATCTATTCACACTTATTCGTGTTGTGTGAACTCTTCATTTTTTTTTTTTTTAAAAGCTAAATCATAAAAGTCCATTAACTTCATGAATTGTCCAAGTAAAACTGTTTTTCTCCATACATGATGCTATTCAAATAGAAGATTAAAAAAAAAAATCAGGCGGGGAGATATTTATTTGAGTATAGATAACGATTTCATCACCTAATATTTTGTGACAACATTTTAATTCAGGCAAAACAGTCCCATTCCTCACTCTTACGTCATAACTTACCAAAGACATACACAAGCCTGTCCTGCAACATTTTGCTTTGTGTTGTCATCAGGTTGGAATGGTTCCCATTCAAAGTACTTCACACACGGATCATTGCTCACCCACTGCAAATCAGCCTCCGTGTGAGGAATGGCATTGGTCGTGTCTGGGTCGTGCAAGCCTATCCAGAATCCACCATTGTGACAATTTTGCTTGGTCCATTGATTGTTGGCGACGATGTCCTTGACGTCTTGTATCAT